CACTGTACAAGTCGCCAACTAAAATCTTACGTGGTTTCTCGGAAAAGCACAGTGACGCTGGGCTCTTTATGAGATAATTAACGTTTTACCGTATTTTCGGAACCACTAATTTTGAAAGTTCGAAAAGATCCTTGAAAGCTGTATAGTTTCCACCCCATAAGGAGAGAAAGTGAAAGACACTTATGAATATTAAAAAATCACAAAAATACTTTTTAGGGGCAAAATGGCATTTCTTTCAATATATTTTATGGTTTCTCACTCCAAAATTCAGTAAAAAAAACATATCAAACGTAAGAATAAAAGTCTTAAATATTGTCGAACCACTAAATGTTTTTATTGGCCATCCAAGAGTTCTAAAGAAACATAACCACGAAATTCGGACTCACTATCCTTATTCCCATGAAAATGAAAATTACGACTTTTAGAGATACGACGTAGTCATCACTATCAAAAAATTGGATATTGATGTCATAGACCATCTCAACCAAGAATATCTTTCGTTCATCAGATGTAATTATTTTGACTAAATATATATACTACCTATATTTAGGTGTTTTTTCTTTTTCTCCCATTCTATTTCCATTTTAAGTTTACAGGTAATATTAGCATAATCTAAGGTGGGGAGATGTTGACCCCTTCTTTATCCTGGCTATCTACGCCTGTGGTTGTGACTACCAGCCACGCCAGTGCTGCAAGATCATTTCTCATACAAACATGTAGGCATGAGTCAGAATCAGCCTCTAAGTCAGCAATTTGAAAGTTAATAAACCGATGCATAACAAAAAAAAGCGCAGAGAAATAATATCCTCATCGTCCATGAAAACAACATAATTAGGAACCCACGTTATTTTTTCACATCACTATATATTCTAAAAAAAAACGATGTCTCACCACCTCGGAGATTAATCTTACTTTTTTCCAAAGGGCAGAGAGCGAAAGTATAATCTCGAATAATCAAAATACCATTACCATACCCTAATAAAAACTCTCCCTTATCTGCCCTCCTAACAAAAAAATATACCACATCCATAAAAAGTACCTATCGGCCTATCTCGACCCAGACGAGAGGGCTCGAGGCCCAAACAGGTTCGGTGGGTTGGGTTGAGAGATGAGATACAAAAAACCAACGTAAAAAACGGACACACTTCATAAAAAAATACCAAGTCGTGCCCAGATCAGAATTCCAATACTGGAAGCCACTTAATGTCTGCGGTTAATAATAGGTAGCTGTGGAATGAAAAGATATTCACGTGTTTTCGGTGCGATTATGAGTTTTTTACGGCACGAGATACAATAGAAAAAATGTCGGGGGATTGTAATCATATGCCTTTAGATTCTATAATCTGCTATTTGTATGTATGATTCAGAGAAGCTACTACCTGGTTTGGTTACGTAATATGACACATTTAAAAAAAAATTATAATGGGTGTTTTTCGACCATATATGCATGGCACGGGGGTCTGGTCTAAAGAAATACAATCAGAGCATCTGAACACAGTGTGTAATCCACAAAAGCGTTAGTGATTTTCATGTGCTTTTAAAAATAATTGTAGTTCCATATGCAGATGGTTTAGCAACAAAGAGGCTTTAACATTGGGTTCCCTAAAAGTTTCCCCGTTAACATGAAGCTTATTTAAGAGATAGTGGATAAAATAACAAGCTCTGAATGAACATTGCAATCCTTTGAACTTTGCTCTGTGTCTTCCCTGTTTAATTCACACAACAATTATTATACCATTTTTTTCGGAGCAGCTTCTCTCCCGTCTTACACTTAGGCTTGACTCAGACCTTGTGACAGTCTGAAGGAAGTATGTTCTGAAGTTGGCCCGGGATTATTAGTAGCAAGTCCAAACTGCATAGAGAATTCCTATTTCTTACACAGCTTCAGCCTTCCTTGCAGTTCTCAACAAGACGGTAGAAAATCAAATTTGAGAAAATGGTAGAAAACATTTTGAAAGTATAGTTACTATCAATCATTTTGGGTAAAACATATGTAAGGAAACTGAAAAATTACATTGTAGCAAAGTGAGATGCAACATTTTGAGCTCTGCATTTTTTCAGCCATTATACAATTTGCCTTCAAAACAGGTTCAATAAAAAATATTTGCAATACAATAATCACGATGGTTAAAATGTGAAGAACCCATACATGTTTACTCCACCCAAACAAACAAAAATCGAAAAACAGGGTAAAAAATATAATGCGTCAAAATTATCTTCTCACGCTCAGCTTTTTTCAAGTTCAGACTTGTCGATTTACACCCACACAACAAATCTTCCGAGTCCAATTTTTCTCACACATTCAATGATCCTAAAAAGGACGCAGCCTTCACACAATGCAACACGTGACTCACGGGTCTTATCTTTTCTCTGCCCCATTTTGAATGTCGGAAGGTAACTTAAAGAAATATATCCAGGTCATGGTTATTGTGTAACTTTGTGTAAATACGTCTTTGAAAAAATCTAGGTAGTTTGTAGGTGCGACTTGTTCAGACCTGTCTTGGAGTAGTAGGTGGGTAACAGGGTGTTGATTGGTTAATAAATGACATTCCATTAATGAGATAACTATATTAATAGTCGATAGTTATTAAAAGATTTTTCCATAAAAAAAGACAAGCCTCTCAGCATTGGAGCAGTTGGGCTGCATTGGTGGGGCAAAAACCTTACACGTTTTCAATATCACAGATACAATGTGAGAATAAAAAAAATGGGTACAAGACAGTAATTTGTAACTCATAACTGTTTTTAAGAAGTCATAATTATTGTGCTTCAAGATCTAAATCATTTTAATAGCAGTACTTGTGCCAGGGCAGGATATTCAATTCAGATTTTTCTGTGTCATAATTTCGCTAGTTAAGTTCTGCAATTCTACAATTTTTGAATTTTTTGCCAAGGCGCTGCAAAATGATATACAAATTGGTGATAACAAACTGCACATAAAAAAAGGTCTCCTGGATTCGAGGCAACATTTTTTTTTCGAAACCATTACCTTCATTACAGATCTCGGGTGGAATCAAGTAATATTATTATTTTTTTTTAAGAAATAAGTTTTATGGTAGTATGCTGTGAAACCGAAGAAGTTATTTCATATCGAAATTCAGGATATGCATCATGTGCCCCGTTGGTCCAACAGGTGTATCTTATTATTCGAGATTTTTTGTTTACCATTCATATATTTTATCCCAACCAATGAGAAACCGTTAAATGAATTTTCATTTTGACCATGTTGCAGTTAGAACGAAAACTCTCCGTTCGTTTACGTGTTTGCCCTATATTGTCCTGTTGGACCAGGATAAATCTTCATCAACTTCAGTAGTGCATTAAGAAAATCGAATTATAAATCTATTTTCCTTATGAACATGCACTTAGTTAATGAAAAAGGTACTCTTCTCCCCTCCTATAAACGCATCCCCTATTTGGTCGCGTGGCTAAAATCACTCCACAATATGGAGGGGAGATCCCCTTGATTGCCGATCAATGTTCCAATAATAATATTTGTAACTGTTGTTGGAGAATAATGCGCATAGGATCTAGGGGGTTCTAACAATGGGAAGTGTGCCGATGGTTTTTCCAAAATATCTAGGGATCTACGACAGACACATTTCAGATGATATTGTTCACTTAGAGGGTCTTTCAAAGCTACTTAATTTTTGAACATCGAGTATTTCCAATTCGCGACTACTTTAAACAATTATTTAGCCCAATATATTTCTTATACGAAATTTTTAATCTAGATAAATCGGACAAGATCGGTATGAGCATGCTAATAATACAAATATATAATATAATTAAAGGTATACCTATTCCTTGCATTTGCTTTCCGACCAAAACCAAAGCTATCTTTGTATTGCGAGTAGCATAATCAGCTGTTTTGGAATTACCCTACATGTATGTAACGTTGCAGTAATCAAAGATAGTGCCAGCCAAAATACCATATCTACAGAAAATAATTTGTGCCACATTCGATGTTCATTTTCTTACGAAAATACATTAGGTCATGTTTTTGGCAACAGCTTCCGATTGCTCCAAATATTATCTTCCCGTAATTTTAGCTTAATCTGTACGAGCTCAGCAAATCATATACTGTATACCATAGTAATTGCATGAATAAGTAGTTACATTCTATATCTGACTGCAGCATATAGATTAAAGAGAAAACCTACATAAATAGCAGATGTCCTTACTATAAAATACGAGTCATTGACAATTTGTCTGAATTTCAAATAACCTCTAAACAGGAAAATAATATCATCTAATGTGGACAGTACACAACAAGACGTTGCAAGCTATGAACATCCACGAAACTGACCATAACCAACCTGATCCGGTATTGTTACCTTTGGACACACGTGTGCTCCGCATACGCATATTTGAATAGGCAAACCCCTTAAGATCTCGGCTAGATGCAATAAAAGGGTCAAATGAATACACCCTCGCTTCTCCACCCTTACACGCATGCCATCTGCCTTCCCGAACGTGGGAACGTCGATCTTCTCGCAATTCTCACGGATCTCACACACCCCGGCCTACTCGCTCCGTCTCTGTCTGTCGCGTTGGGCGCTCCGGCTCGGCGTCGTCGAGGAACACCTGTCCCTATGCTCGCATGCCATAGGCTGAGGGTGGCCCCCCTTGTGATATCCTAAGGGTCGTGACGTCAGCGGCGGCTATAAATACCCGGCCGCTGGAACGAGATTATCATTCCGAAATTTACTTTCGACAGTTTCCCTTCGAACGAAATGAACGCAAGCGAGATGAACAACTCGATCAACGATAACGTGTATAACGCTAAACGGTGCAAATCGACCGCGCACCCGTTGCGGCAGATCAAGAAGCTGATTAAGTGTGTGCTGAAGAAGAACTCCAAGAGCAGCTACTTGAAACACCCAGAGCCCAGTTTCTGCCACGATGAAGAAATTGCTGACAACATTGCTAACGAGATTTTGGAGAATGAAATCTTCGAGGAGATCGATTCTTGTGAGGAGTTTGCTGCAGTGCCTTACTTCGAAGATGACCAGATGCATTTCCTGCCAGTCTACAGGGGTCAAAGGTACATTCCTGTTCACTTTGCGCGGACTGATGCTGGTACTTTCTTCTGGACTTCCATGGCTAACTCCGATTCCGATATCGATTCTCATGGGGACAAGAACGCCATCTGCAATTACCAGGTTCCAGAGCTACAGGTACCCAGCGATAGGTGGGCTCAAGCCTGAGTCTGCACTTCACAACTTCAAACTTCGCCTGTGATGACCTGTGTGCCTTCGACCGTTGTGATTCCTGGACTTTAATTGCTCAATTTGACTGATTGTCATTGTGATATTTGAATTTTAATTTTTGTATAGATTTTTATTAGTTCGGACGTCGGTGTCTGAGATGTGATTCAAGCTTTAACGATTTTTTTATTTATGTATGTCTTCCATAATGTTAAGTATAAGTTTATTTTTTGATTAAAACATTTTTAAATATATCTATATCTGTTTTATTTTGCGCCAAGAACAACTTTTCTTCAAACATAAATGATTATCCTCAACAGTTTGTTAGAATCATTGTATAAATACACAAATGAGTCCAACAAGTCTATTGAAGGTAAGCATTAGCTAATTCATAATCGATAGTGATAATTTGGAAACATAAGACCATCCAAATGGAAAAATAATTAAAACCAATTATCCTCAACAGTTTGAACCATTTCATAATCACAAGAAAATAAACCCGTGGTTTTAAGAACCTGTCGAAGATAGTAGGTGCTAATTATTTGATGAACATGAAAAAGAAGAAAAAAAGCTCATGCCGGTAAAATTTCATAATGCCGATTTAGAGGAGTCCGCATCAATTGTCTATACGATACTTAAATTGATATATTTTGGTAACACCAAAATTAAGCTGACTGATTGGTAAACATAAATACCTACTTTATAATCCTAAAGAGCAAAAATACTCGTACTGTAAGAACTTCGTTTCACTGACCGATTAACCACTACTAACTACAATTATAAAAAGACCTTTTGAGCTTTTCAATCGTACCTACAAAACTTTTTACAAAGTAACTCAACTTATTTTCAAATCATAAAGTTTGCTTAATTGCCTAGAAAAAAGTCTTGTTCTACTACTAATAAGAAACTGGATCCATCACGATTCACTTTCATTAACTAATTCTTAACAAACGGCACTTGTGTTATTAGGAACTCATAAATTGTATATGGTTCTAAACAGTGTACGTATTTATATATCTGGTGAAAGGCTGACGAAAATTATAAGCAAAAATTATGATAGTTCATCTAATTTGAAAAAAAAAGTTAACTAAGGTGCACCCTAAGCATTAAGAAATCAAATTTAGCTTAGCAGTCTACAATTCGTAACTTATTCATTCAAAATGTCTTAGTGAACACAAAGAAAAACACCATAACGCTTAAAACTTAAAAGGATTCATAAGAAGTGTTATTACTTTTCAAGGCTATAATCATCTCACCTTCACTTCTACAGTTGGGTTCTTTTTATCAGTAACCTTGACTTATGCATTTCAGGCGTGGTCATATCATTCCTTAGAGAAAGGGGGAAAGAGAGAAAGAGACGGGCATTAACCTAACTACCCCTCATCAATTTCAGTGTTATCTTTGTACATGTATTAAATACTGTATGTGAGTGGAAATATTTCTTTCAGTTGGTTGATATCAGTGATACTGAGATTATCGGTTTTATAATCTGACATAAATGTAAGCACCTCGACATCTCCAACGAAGAACGTTGATACTTGTATAATCATAACATCTGGAACTTATCCAGTGGTTTTCATTTCGATAATTCCCAATGTTTGTCTGGCCAATGAAACCATATGTATTTGAAATTTTATGAAGAAAGTGTCATGTACTGACCGAAATGTATATACGTTTTTACTATTAAAGAAGAATTTCAAATACATGCGATTTCATTAGCCCGACAAACAGGGCATTATTCTAAAATCATGTCAAGTACAGAGAGGTCATGTACGTATTATCAGTGTTCTTAATATTTCGTCAATCTCTCACCAAAGTCTTTAGTGGGTGATTTTTCTAACTGATTCGTAGCTTGGGCTGAATTGCCCACAGGTACATAGCTTTATGATAATTGAAAAATTTGGGATTTTTAACGTTTGAAGTAGCTTCCCAAATTACTTGTTGTTGCTGCTAACTTACTTAGCTGATGTCATATTCTACAGGGATTCAAATAAATATACTGCGTACCGCAATTTTACACATATCCTAATAGTCGTCTTGATTTTTGGCGAGTTACTGAAACCAACCATTTTAATTGTTGAAAAAGGTCTACTACCATTTCGGCAACATCTGGCAATCCAACAAAAGTAAAACTGAAATTGCGTGTCCCCATGCATATTGTTGTCAATAATTCTTATGGTTCTTACTGCACTTGACGTTGTTGAAACCAAAAAGTGGTTTTAATAATTCAATCACGTTTGAAAATTTTGATACAGATGGCTCTGTTTTGTTCCACTGTCGATAAATAATCTTCAGCATAACAGATTGGTTAAGGCTTTCGCGGCCAGTTGATAAACTGCTGTCGTGATTCGGGTCTAAAGGCCGTCGTCGGTTGGAATCTCTTCCTAACGTTTCGCTAGCACGAGTGGTAAGCTTCTTTAGAGGTCCTTCCATTTCCCATGATACATCCAGCGCTTACAATAAATAAGCTACAATTCATATTTTTGATGAATAAAATTCAGCACATAAATTTCAAATCTGAATTAAGGATGCGTACCCTAAAAAGCATTCCTATCTCCTTCCTTTTTTTACCGTGAAAAATTAATTCATACCACTGAACATAAGATATTTCGCCCGCCTTCCGTATGTTGAGTACGTTCTCCAATATTTTCACAAAAATATCTTCCTGGCCATCTTTTATTAACCACGTGAAGCCATGCATAAGTCCTTCCAAACTCATCTTACGGTACACCAACCAGACAGTACCAGTGGCCGAATTCCATAGCGAAGCCCCTCTTAAAAATCACAGTCACCCTCATATATGTAGAAGCAGGTAGTACAGTCGGCCAGCTCAACTTGCTGCACGTGTAGCCTACCTACTGTCCTGATTTGGGTGCGGTTGATTTGTTTGAGCCACTTTACCGTTGTATACCTGAATATATCTTTGGGGGACGATGAGGATCCAGTTACCAAGTTTCCTTTTTCAAGAAGCTTTTTTGTAAAGAAGGAACCGTTTGTGATACTTTTGGGTTTTTTAATGAATATATCGCGTAACGTGTTTGAACATGGAACAAAAAAAAAATTAGTTTGCACCAGTCACAAGTTTGAAAAAGTCTTTACTATAATTCGATTTAACGTAATCTCCAAACTCATCCATACCTATTTATACAATTTTTGAATAGGTACGCATTGATACTAATATACTAAGGAGGAAGCGTTATAGGTTATAATGGTAGATGCAAGAAATAGTTTTATAAATAAATGAATTGTCCTGATTATTCTGATATATGCAAAGTGACACGGTAGCTATTTATTCTAGTTGTATGATAAACATATTCACTTCTTGTCCGGACACAGGTATGTATTACCGAAACTTTTCTATGTAAAAATGTAAGAAAGTTTTAAAGTTTTGTTGTTGGCCTCATGTCAAAATTGAAAAAAGCCCCCTGTCATAACTGTCAGTAGTCAGTACTGTCAAATTACAACCGTTTACTTTAGTGGTCATAAAAGCTCTTGTTTTTCCAACCATCCTTTTTAGCTATCGCTGTCACAAATAACGGGAGCTTAGCGATTCTTTGTGCTTGTTGCACAAAAAACTCTTTAATACCTACTGGGCAAAAAGTAATCGTGTAGACACAAACTCATACATGCTGAACTTTCATAAACAATTGTGCCTCTCGTTTTTTGTGTCATCTCCCTTCTGCCGTTATCTTTTCAAATTAACTATATACATCAGTCTGGCTGAATCTGTTCATTTCCCTACGTCCCTCATCTGTAAATCGGTCGACAATAAATGCTTTTAACAGGCGGTAAGGGCGCTGCCAGTCACTATACTGGGGCCAAATAATATGATGAGACGTTTAAAAATTAGAAAAGGACTTAAATTAATTTATCTATTGCGATTTCGATAAAATAAAATGGAGTATGGCAACTAGTATAAGATGTTTTGATCTCTATTTTGTAACAAGTATTTAAAAATATACAAAATACTTATTCCACGTAATCAAAACTGATCGTTATCTCTATACTTTGAAGTTGAGTCATTAATTTTCAGATAATGATTGTAGAAGGAAGATAAACCAAAATATGTGTGTAAAAATAAAAAAAAAATAAAAAAAAAATGTTACCTTGTTTAATAAAGTATCCTCCCGACAAGTATTTCAGTGCGGACCTGTATTTGATCGTGCGGTCTTGGAACAGCATGCCCTCACCTGTGAGGTCTTAAGTCACCTGATTCACGAGCCCTTTGAACTACATTAACAAAGGCACGAGGGGTTGGTTGCATTCGATTGGGAAACCGATTCGCATAAATCCGTGATGCATCCGGGAGCATTTTGTAAAGACTGCCCCTCCGTAAATAAGAATCATGTCCACAAGTTCAGCATTTTCGTAAACATGTGCAATTTTTGATTTCGTTTGAGCCACGCAACACACTACTATTCACTTACGCGTTATCGACTGACGAAAAACATCGTGATAAACGTTTCAAATTCTTTCGCTTTTTTGTTTCCGATGCGATGAACCGGTCAAGCGGATTATATCCGTTGTCGCCAAACACGAGCATATAATAGGCAGGGCGGTACTCAAACTTCCAAAGGGCTATAACTTTGTTACTTTAATTTTACCAGAAAAATGGTAAAGGAAAAAAACATTTCTTTTGATCAGATCTACTCACTGTTAAAATAAATGACTCAACTTCGAAGTCACCCTGTATAGCTTGTACTACTTTTTGTTGAACTTTTTGATAATATGTCACAATTATGTTAATCTTTTAGGAAAATGTTGACTTGTGCTTCTGTAATTGCCATACCTATAGCACATTATTGTTTTTCTTATTTAGACTTTTTCTGAGAGCATTACATGAATAAGAGCGCTGAAACATAGCTTCACAATGTCTTGGTGTAGACAATTTGTAAAGCCTAAATTTATATGATGGATGCTTAATCTGACTATTATGCCATTGTATAGGATGCGGCAGAGATGATGGACGTTTTTGGGATGGGTAGTACTCTCCGCCTCCATCTACGAGAGAGGTGGGGAGGGTGCCGTTTGACTCGTGAGATCCTAGCATTATTTTACCAGTTGTCGTTATGGAGCCTTGGACGGTGGAGCACCGCGTTTTCGCCTATGAGTGACGAAGCCCACTTTCACCTAAACAGCATGGTTAACCAGCAGAATTGTCGTTATTGGGCTAATGAAAATCCGCAACAGTTACACGAAAGACCGCTGCACAGCCCAAAAGTAACGGTTTGGAGCGCTGTATCGCAAACTTGCATCATTGGTCCTTACTTCTTCGAAGACGGTAATGGTCGTGATGTTACCGTGAACTCAGAGCGCTACGTCGACATGATCAGCAACTTCTTTCTCCCTGAATTACGACGGCGACGTGTTCCAATCCGACGTGTGTGGTTCCAGCAGGATGGGGCGACCGCCAACACAGCCCGAGCATCCATGGACGTTATTCGCCCTCTTCTCTGGTCGCCTTATTTTCAGGTTTGGCGATGTTCATTGGCCTCCTCAGTCCCCAGATTTATCCATATGCGATTTTTTCTTATGGGGACACCTCAAGGCTAGAGTATACGCGAACAAGCCCCGAACTCTGGACGAATTGAAGGGCGAAATTCGCGTGGAAGTCGCCAAGTTGAGAGAGCGATGTTGGAGAGAGTCTACGCGAACTTCCAAGAACGCCTCCACCACTGCATCAACGATTTCGGATACCACATGCCTGATGTGATTTTCCACACTTGACTGTCTCAAATGTTATTTCCTTGTGAACCTGATTCCATCAATAAATTTGTTTTCGAGTAAAAATTAACTATTCTATGATTTTTTTTAAAACCGTCCATCCTCTCTGCCGCACCCTGTACTTAACTCAATAAGAAATGATGCTGGCGTTTTTAAAAATACTAGGTAGTATACGGCTAGTATAATGAAAAATTTCGCATGTAAGTCTTTATAAGGGAAAGGGACCACTCAAATATTACGTAAGCACTAAAGAGGGCCGGGGATATTTGCTTAGCTTATTTTTGATTACATGAGGGATGGGGGTCTGGATATTGATAACGTTAGCTACATTTTTTTTACTTTATCGGATTTCTACAAAATTTAGTCGATCTTGATTTGAACACATATGGCAACCCTAAGATCAGAACAAAAATAAATACAGAAGGGGAGGGGGGGTTAATCATTGTAAGAAATCTGCTTACATAATACTTGAACGATAAGTACTTTCTCATCCGTTCGCGCTGTATCTTTGAAGTGAAGCAGATGTAAAAAAATGACAAAATAGTCTCAAGGTAGCAAAGAATCATCACTTGAGTGTTTGGTCCAACTTCCGAAACGCCTTGTATTTTGAGTTCCCTGGGCAGTGCACTACTTATTTTGGTGATCAAACTCCAATTCAGTATATTTTTGTAAGCCCTCGGCTTCCCCTCCTCAGTGATGCACTTGACAGGCGGTACCCATACTGTATCCTTCCGAGCTGAACGCTTCCCTCCCCTCCTAGTGAAACATGCTTTTTCAATTAACCCAAACATTCCGATTCTAACATGTGTCAGGTCGACGCCTCATCAAGTGTGTGTGTCGTACCAAAGCGCGTCATCCAGAAATAGCGCATCTAGGGTACGCCACCTGCACCTGCAAGCGTACCGTAAACAATACGGGTTCCTAAACCACCGCACTCTAGACGTATGTATAGTATTCCACCCCAGCGGTAAATCAGGGCCAAACCGTGGGAACGCACCTTGCAACGATCGCGGAATTCGGTAGAATGAGGGGGACAACTACGGGCTGCCACCCCCATACGGTTGTGGATTGAGTGCACGTATGGGTTTTTGGCGGATCGGATTTCTGATGCAGGCTTTGCAGGGGAGGCTCATTTTTCACGTTGCAGAATTTTTAATGGATCTCTGAAACTTGTAAACAACATTAGAAAGATACCCTCTGGTTTTAAACTGTAACCGTCTCATACACATGTTTATATTTCCCTAATAGTTATTATTTTACTACTTAATTAAGGTCGAATTATAAACTCGCCATTGGTCGTTCATTGTACTTGGTCGTTGCAATTCAGTAGGAATTTATAAACTCCCAACTGCAACTGACAATTGTCAGGAACTTACATAATCTCAATCTCAAAGTGAAAATTGCTTATTATAATGGTCACAACTAGTATTTATGCTGAAGTTCAAGTCTAACTAAAATGGATGCAGGAAATGACCTATCCGTAAAAGCTTTTATAATGATTACTTTCTGATTTTGATGTTAACTGTAACTGCAAAAGCCAAAACTTGAACAAATCGGACGACCAACGTCAACAGCTGCTATGAACGACAAAGTTTGTACATGGTTATACAGATTGCGGAACTTTTAACTTGAACGCCAAGTGCAACGCGAACAACCAACGACGAACTTCAAGTTTATTATAACTTTTACTAAGTGGTTACTTTTTCATATAAAGGCCTCCTATAATCAGGATAAAACGTCCATAAAAAGTTTGATACACACAACCTCTTTAAAATATTCAGAATATAAATTGTTGCCCCTGAAAACTCAGTTAGCTTGACATAATTATTTATAAGCAATTTCGTTTATCTCTATTGTGTACTTATGTGTAAGCGAAAGTTATACATATGATCGCTAGAAGTAGCCTTTTGTAATGGAGTAATATCAGTAACACATGAAACGGTTTTGATAAAAACTCATCAAAAACGATCAAAACAACAAACAAAAAGCAAGGTTTCTTTTTCCTTTGCTTCTTATGGCACAGACGAAGGAGTATTGCATCCAATTCCTAGATAACTTGTATTAGGTATTTCAGCAATGATTATGTCAGTCATAAGAGAGTATCAAAAGTTGAGAGATTATCAAAGCATACTTGATTTTCCTTTTACTTTCTACCTCACCGGGAGAGGAAGGAAGTTTTGATGAAAAACCATGCCGCTCGTTTCCGTCGGTCTGCCAGTCTGTCCACTAATCCTTGGACCACTCCGAAAGTACCGCAAAAACATGAAAAAAAAATCTCTCAAATTTGTTTTTCGACGTTTCAGATGCTGAATGCTACCGTGCAGATATGGAAAAGGATAATGTTGCCAGAGGAACAGTAACCACAGGTAGGGTAGGGAGAGAATGGGCATGGACTAAATTTATGGGCCTATTTGATTGACTTGATCTGTTTAATTTCTCTGTTGTACACGTTCGTAACTGGTTTTTCTCGGAGGATTTAAATTCCGCTGAACTTAATCCTTTATGAACGATGACGGCGTTGCGTAGGAAGTGCAGAGTCAACCTTCTTGACACCATTATTTGCCTTGCCTGTTCATTCACATTGATATCTTTTAGAGTGATGAAATTCACAATGTTTTTGAGTTCAGAAAAAATATTTATTTCTGTTATACCTACGCTTATATAGTTTGAACATGTGGAGTAAAATGTTATTTTCTATCAAACCCACATTTTTGGACAAAATCTTAAATCTTATATTTGCAATGGTTCCAGACTTCAACATAGGAAACAAATATCAATCGCATATCACTTTATCAATGATAAACCTCGTGATAAGCTATTGGCCATCCACAGGATATGTCGTCAAATATAAATGTTATAGGTTTCCGAGTGGCTGATTTATAACTGTTTCAAGTTCTAACATTTTTGCCCCATAAAATGTCCGTAATTTTGTCCTGAGTAGTTCACCAAATAAGAATTTATCTAAGACATTAATATTGCTATTGCTCAAGACTTTGTTCCAGGTGATTATAACAGCATAGGGCTTGTTTAATATAACTCCTTAAATAAAGCTTATGAATAGTAGTAACAGGTATGTATTGTAATAACTGATGAACGTACCAAATTATTAAACATCACCGAACGTGATCTTGACAATAATAAACTCCAAAACCACCACAACCCCAAACAACAGGTTGATCTCAGCACTAAGAAAATCACCTGCAACCTCTATAAACTGTGACAAATTATCAATATCCTAAACAAGCACGAGCTACGATGACACCTGACATTGAAAACGATCCTCACGGAAACCCACAACCTGAAGACGAACCTGTTTGAATCCTGTCACGTACAAAGCATTCCAATGTGCAATCAAAGAGCAACATCAAATAAAAAGCGGGACCCCATAGTACCTGTTTCTTAGGTTCGTGTCCATATAATGGGACCTGTCCAGCTATCTCCGTAATAAATCGTTTGACAAAATTCACCGGGGGGTATCGAGGGATGTAAATATTTCTTCAGTCCTGAGATCCAACAGGCTTGTGATCCGGTCTGTCGCTGTACAGAAGATTTATTGTTTGGTTCCTGGGCTTTTGGAATGCTTATATTTTTGTTTCTTTGATTTTATGGCATCCATTATGATAAACTGCTCGATTAGATTACCTTATCAACACTGAAAAACACTACAAGCAACAGGTTGAAGAAGCTATCTGAGTAATGACTTAAATCTTTGATTATTTTACTGGAGTTTAAGGGAGCTTCAGTATTAGTCGGAGCTTGTAAACAAAGCTCTAACACATTCGAATCCAGCAAAAAAGGAAATATTTTCTTCAAGTATCTACTCTGCACCGCCCTCGCAATGTTGAGAGTGTATTAAAAAGTGAAAAATTAAACAATCTCCTAGTTTTCCATTTACACATATAACTTAAAGTTTTTCCACAGCAAACTACAAACCTGCTCAGTTACATAGAAGATAAAGTTTTTCCTATCTCAGGTGTTTTCTATGAAGCTGAAATATATTTCAATCTTTTCGTTGCAGTTGCCAAAAGAATCCTTATTATAATAAGGAAATAAATTCGAGCCACTAATCAAAACTGCTAAGCTAGTATGAATAGAATGTATGCCCCTCATTAAGTAACCTGAAAAAGATTTCTGGAAATTATCAGGTGTCTCTGCTAACTAAGTTTGTGAAAAATTGCAAGGGATCTCGACCTGTCCAGAGTAATAATCTTGTGCAGTTCCTTCCTTGTATTGTCATAGACTGGTTATGGATTGACTGTTGACTTTAGCTTTTTTTTCTGTAACTAACATTTGGTCACGCTCTCATGGGACCTCCTGCAGTTTGACGAAGATCGATGGTGACGTGGAAATTGTAAACAATTCATCTTATTAAAGCAGAAACACAAACATAAGATGCATTCTTGGTGTTTTTAGGATTAGTGTCAAAAATGATATATTTTTTTGATAGTTCATCATAATTCTGCTGTTATAATTATATTACTCTTCCTGTAGAGTATTAACGATGTTAAGTTTGAGATAATTTTATCTCTTCATAATGGTAAATGATTATTCAACAGAAGAGAAGAATTGTTTACAAACATCACAACAATCATTTTTAGTTTTTTTAATCTAATTAGTATAGTTGTGGTTACACGATTTAACGTTATTGCATACCACAATAATAGCGAAACTTGCATATAATTTAGGTATCGCGTCGCGAGTTCGCGTTTTTAAAAAACGTTTTACAGGAGATTTGATACACTTTATTTACTTAAAGTACAAGTATCGTTTCAGGCAACAATGGTTTTGTTACCAAACCTAAGACTACGTGAGCTTTCAAGCGACTGACTAATAGATGTAAAATAAAGTAATAGCTGATGTAAACTGATGCCTAAAGGGCACAAACAAGAATTTATAATATGGGGTTGTTTATAAAGATAAGATATAAGTACACCAATTAGGGAGATATACGAGGGGCTCTCGCTATATAACTCCTCCCTGCCAACGATGAGCAAACGGGGGATCCAAAGTTTACGAATCCGGAACTGCTTCTTCTTCTCTACGTCTTCTTGCTTCTCCTAGCTTCTTTAAAATTTGGTAAATGATGTAGCCAATAAATGTAGAGATTAATAATAAAAATATGGCTAGAGTCTTCTCAATGGGGCGGTCTTGGAACTGAAGATCTTCTTCTTTGGCTTCTGGTTGAAGTACCTACTTGAAGATCCTTCCATGATTTCAAGTTGAACTTTGAAACATCAACAAGGCTCTGCTTCGTGAAGTTAGTCAGGCTCATGGTTGGTAACGGGAAAATTGTTTCTTGTTTTATACGATCAGATGAATAGAACTTCTGCTGATTAACTTCGATACTGCATCTCTAGAGTTCGATGACACTTGGTTGGGAATTAACGATCAGGCCATCTTCTCGACATGATGAATGGACTGTGGTGGGTTCCATTGGATTGACAATTAGTTTCGATGGGTAAATTTTGCTGTACCAGACTTTTTGACCGCTGGATGCTTATTAGGGGACATCTGTTGCTGCCATTTTGAATAATTTCTACAAGACATGGATCTGCTATCTGGCAGGTCTTCGTGCTTACAGAAGTATTTATTTGCGACATCTTCAGACTTGGACACTGCACTCTGGCATCAATCTTTGTCTTTGGGATGGTCCTGGTTTTCCTGATCTTTGTCGGTTCCAGAAGTAGATGATTGAGATCAACCTGGTCCTCTTCTGATTTCTGATCTAGTCTTCTGGTCCTACTGCTGACTGCGCCAATTTAGGTATCACGTCGCGAGTTCGCGTTTTTGA